TGAAGTGTGTTCTTCGGCTTACCGCTTTTTTGTTTCCCTTCAGGATTCCAAGTTACGGCATGCCTCGTGATGTAGTTTGGTAATTTCCTCAATGTGTATCCTATCCACTTCCAACGTTTGTTCTGAATATTCTTGGGCTGCAAGCTGGTTTGTCCTATTTTTGATGGTATCTGGTCAAAGGATATTCAATATCTTACATAAACGATTGCTAATAAATACTTGTATATTTTTCATGATGGTTGTAGTAGTTCTGCAAGTTTCAACTCAGTACATTACAACTAACTGTCTTCACGTTCGTAATAAAGATTCTGAGCCTGATGTTGTCTTGATGCTGACAGTTGTTTTGAGTTCCATATGTTCTTCAACTGTACAAGTACTGTCCTTTGTTCGCCAACAATCGCCTTTACGTACTGCAATTAAATCATCCGATTTCATCGATGATGATACCCAAATATGTGAGTTCAAATCGTTTAGTGGCATCCAACCTGTTCATTCTATTCCGTGCTTCCACTCAGATGTACAGGTCTTCACAATCCAGTCAATCACCAGGTGAAAGAGGAAGCGACACAGTAAGCACACTTGTCTTACTCCGGCTCACACTTCCAATGCATTTGTCAGCTGTCCTCCATGCATGACTTCACAGTGTAGTCTGTCGTATGAATTCCGTATGATATTGACGATTTTCTCAGTTACATCATTGTGTCGAGGAAGTTACCATAATATTCTCCTATCCACGCTGTCAAACGCCTTCTCATAATCAACGAATTTGATGTATAGTGACGAGTTACACTCGACTGATTGTTCAATGATGATCCATAATGTCACAATTTGGTCTGTGCACGACCGATCCTCACGAAATCCAGCCTGATGACCTCGAAGCTGGACGTTTACTGAGTCTTCCATTCAGTCCAGCAACACTCTGTTGAAAACCTTTTCTGTTACTGACAGTAATGTGATGTCTCCGTAGTTCTCACATTCGATCATACCTCCTTTCTTTGGTATTGTTGAGTCGGCTTTCCGAGAACTTCAACGGAGCCTCCAGAGGCCCTAAATGAGCCGAAGAGTTCTAACCAATCAGAGCCTGATGAAGCTTCCAGAATATCAACTTGGCGTGCTACTATTGATCAGTAGCATAATATGTCTTTTAGCGGATTGACCAAAATACGATGTTGATTTAACAAACGTTAACATCTATAAATACCCGTATATTTCTGTACAAAAAAAAACCTTTGGAATAAAGTGCTTTTCGCTTATTTAGCTCCTTTTCTCTTTAGTTCAGGTCGTTGCGTAGTTCTAGCTTGCGGGTTACCAGAATAGCTAAGAACCGGATAAAGAGTGCAAATAAATAAGACTTATCAGGTATCGTGATGAGTTTCCCTTCTTTCCAATCTGTCGACGACACTTGTTCTTCCTCTCAAATCGTCCTCAATAGAATTTGGATTATGTTCCCAGTTACTTCCGTGTCTGACATCAGTTGTTCAATTGGTATATTGTCAGGTCGGGTTGCTTTCTCACCCTAGATTTGTGTGGTTTGTGTGATGACCATCCGTCGTTGATGGAGTGACATCCATCAGAAAGTCTGTAAATGCTGCTTCGGTATTTCATGCATTCAATGGAGGCGGTCAATTCAAAAGTTCCTCGAAGTGTTCTACACATCTGTTCCATCGTCCTGGAATTTCACTGATTTTCTTACCTTCTTTCTCTTTGACCGTTCTCTCTAGTTTTCTTTATTTCTCTGCTGGTTTCTTCGGTATTTCATATAGTTTTGTCATATTTCCTTCTCTTGCAGCTGTTTACACTGTCGTCACTAGCTCTTCCACATATTTCTGCTTCTAGGCTATAATGCTCCTGCTCACTAGCTTGTTTACTTCCGTGTACTCAGCTTGTGCTTTGACTTTTTCTGTTCTTGTTAGACTGTTGTTAATTGTTGTCTTCTTATTCTTTCTATCTTGAATCTTGTCTAAGGTTTCTATAGAGATGTATTCGTTATGATGATGCTTTTTGCGACCCAGAACTTTCTAACATATTAAATTTAACGCTTCGACGGGATGGAGTTGCCATTCATTCCCCTTCTTTACCCGTGCCTAGGACCGGCAGTAGCCCCGGAAGAGCTAAACGAGGAGTTGGTCATATTCGTAACTACGTCATTGAAATAATCAAAGTACTTTTTATGTTCAGAAACTTCTTATGAATAATTTACTGATTTTTTACTCATGAAAATATGTCACCGCTGCTTGTGTGATTCATTTTTCCTTTAAAAAAATTAGTAACAGTATAATTTGATTTAAATCAACACTGTCATTCACATAATTAGTGTCAAGAAATCCAATCCTTTTCATGTTTGTTCCTATATATCTTCTTTTTTTTATATCGAATCTTCGTAACTAATGACATAAAATTGTTTCTTTAATGTACGTTTTCAGAAAAATTACAGTTTTTCTCCTTAAAAACGTTTCATCAAACAATTAATCGACAGAAAAAAAATATATATATACACCCTGGTACGGCCGAGAGTGGGGAGAGCCGCTTACCCCCTTGAACTACTGTCACGTGACAACACCTATATAGACTCTGCTTTCTCGTGGCAGGGGTGTTGTTTACGAAATTGAGAGGATGAAAAGCGAACATCCGGCGCTTTATCCGAGTTGATGGACACGGAGAGTCCACCTAGGGGAGTCGCGAAACCCTGACTCCACACCAGTGGTGCTTATTGGCTCCAGTATCCTGAAGGAACAAATGTCGTATGAACCAATCGTTGGTCACCGGCTACCATGGGACTGCATCTCCTTACGTTGCTCCACTGCCTTGTGGATCACACGTTCGGGTCGAAGGCTCCGGTCGTGGCTCCCTAAGAAAACCACCTGCTTCGGTTTAGGCACCCGGGCACTATCACAGCCCTCCCACATATCAAATGAGTTCTGTGTGGTGCATATGTATTTGGTGCCCCCTTATACCGATATTTATGTGAAAAATAAAATAAATCGATAATTACAATATAATTTTCTTCATATCAAGAGCTAACGTATAAACTAACACTTTAATCTTCTGTTCCTGATAACAAATTATAATTTATTACTATATGATATCTGTTTATTGACAGTAACATTAGATTTTACAGTTCAGATGGATTAACCAGTTACATTTAAATTCAATTTCATCTAAAAAACCAGTTTTTCGATATTGTCATCATTTAAAAAAAGTGTTTTTTGCATTTTTGGTTGTATAAAACCTGTCTCCTCAACATTGTTCGTGAATTTATACGATTATTGTATACTGAACGCAAGATCATTAATATTTTCTTCCTCGAAATATTCAAATATATTACTCTAATAGTGTCAGTTATAACTGTTACCAAATTGATAATAACCTCTTGCATTCTAAACATTTGGTTGTCATGCCAACCCGAACATAATTACATTCAAAATAAAAGCATAAGTTCTCATATTTTCATTGTCACATATGTGAGTTAACAATTCAAATAAGAAAAATAAGTCATTAATGTTCTATATATTGTAGGTTTACTCAATAAATTATAATGTGATATAAGAAAATCTTAAGAAAATGCTTTTTTATTAGTTAAATTATTTATGGCTTATCACAAGATATAATAATTACGAAATTTCATATTAGTATATTAACTTTAATGAGATAATTAAACGGAGTACTTGGTTATTCATTGTCAATCAACCATAAGAAGTTTATCACATTTATCATCGTTTTAATCCAGATTACTAAAGCTACAAGTTAATTTTAAAGTGAGTATTACGTTAACAATAAAATTACAATATACGGGCACTGTCGAAGAGTCCCATACAAGGACGAAACGGCCGTCCAGTGCTTCCAGGTTTTTCATGGTGGTCTAGCTTTAATTGACTCATGATTTCAATCAAAAACTTAACAATCTCCACAACACCTAAACTGAGAATATTAGGAATAATTGCCCTATCACCAATTAATAACAGTGAAATGAAATTATATTAAATTAACCAGATGTAAATAATGTCAATCAATACTAGGAGATAAAAAAAGGAAACAGTGTATCAATGATATGATTGAAAAGTAATGTTAGATACACAACTATTTTCCAACTGCACATAGTTACAAATCTCATCTGAAATTTATAAAACAGAAAAAAATGAAGTGAATATATCGAGAAATGGAACGTAATTGGATTAAATACTTGATATTCTGTTGGTAAAATAAATGTTCACATACTATCAACATCAGTAGAGAGAATTCTCTGAAAACACTTACATTTCTTTTTAAAATTTATTGATTTAACAATTCTGTTTTCCGATGTTCACTGAACCATGACACTATCGGAAAACATTAAGAAGATACAATGATCTTATGATTTAAATATGAAAGTTTCCATTTAAGCAATAAGGAATTAGTTATGAAAAATAAGCTTCAACAATCTATTAGTTCAGAATAAGTAATTTATTGAAATGAGTAATGAAATAAGTAGTGAAATATACCTTATATAAATACGAAAATAAAAATTATAAAAAATTCATCCTACTTAGAGTGTCTGTACTTTTCTATAAAAGAACTTTCATTATCTTTGATGTCACAGAATATATCTGTTACAAATGGATAAGCTTTCAGCCATCAATTTTTCCACGTTCACTTGTCTATGCACCTTACTAATTAAATTTATCATTAAATTATAAATATCTCATTGTTTTATGAATAGAGTAAATGAAAAACATGTGATGATTTTACATGAAAATTATAAACTGAACAAAAATGCATTTTCGTTGTTTTACTTGTATCTTCCCATTGTTATTTAGGACCGCTGACGAGTCAAAAATAGGACGAAACGCGCGTACTAGATTCCACTTCTAGCCACTATCCATTTTTGCTTAAAAATACATTGTGCTTAAATTTGTGAATAAATTCTTTTTTTATTTGTCTCGACATTTAATTGGTCAGTTAATTGACCAATCAAAACGAAATAATGAACAAAAAAATTTCTTTAATCAAAATATTAGGCAAATAAACTTCACAAATAATCTAATAAAATCATTTAAAATTTATGAATAACAAAGTATTACTTTGACTTCCCAGTAGAAAAAAAAATTATGATTAATTCCATCTTTTAGAATATGATGTACCTGGATCGTATATCACCTTTAATAATGATAGGCTTGATTAACTGGAACTTAGTTTTATCTGAATTCATAGCATATGGATCTAATACTATGAATAAAAATACAGAAAAAATTTTGAATTCTGTTATCTCTAAGAAACAATCTGAAATACTAGAAAATTTAAAATCTTTATCAACATCAATACATACACAGGATACTTCAAATGAATATATGTTAAGTGATCATCCATTATCTGTAATTAACTTTAATAAGCATCAAAAATTTTCTTATCTAAATGATATGCAACCAGAAAATGTTGATAATTCAAAACATCCATTATTATCTGATCCATTGTTTGATCCTTCAATTCTTACAGATACTGCTGCTCGTGTAATTCAATCTAATCGTTGTACAACAGAAGAACGCCAAAAACGAATACAATGTTTCGAAGTACTACCTGCGGAACAGTATGCTATACCATTAGGACATACTGTGAATATGCAATGTGTTGTTTTAAATCAGCATGGAAAAGTTCAATGGCGTGCAAAGAAAATACTTCTTGGTATGTTATACGTTTAATTCTAATTAAAACAAGTTTACATAAACATTTCTTCATTGATACAAAACACTATTTTTAAAATTGTGTACTTATCAGTTTGCTAATTAAATATTTGTATTTTGAGACAGCGGTTTAAATGCATGTTGACATTGTAAGTGATGTGAGTATCTAACCTTATAAAAATCCATATTTACTCTTTAGTTTTGCGGTTAAAACGATTAGAAGTGTATAAACTGTTAATTAAAAGGATGGGGTACAACCGTATCTGGTGTAGGGCAGCTACTCACTGAAGACAATGGGAGACGGTCGCGCAATATATGCATTGATTGGACATAGGCATTCACATTATTGAATACCGGCCCAGTTGTCTAAAGGTCAAGTGTTTGCGCGCAAGACCGAAGATCCCGGTTTTGAATACCACCTGTGGGATCATGGATGCGCACTGCTGAGTCTCATGCTAGGACGAAATGGCCATTCAGCGCTTCCAGGTTTCCAATGGTGGTCTAACATTGATTCATTCGTGATCTCAATTTAAAAAATTTTGTCAAATTCTTAAATACTAAAATATTACAATAACATTATTACATACTATGATACAATAGTAGGTCTTAAGTTCTCTATGCACATAATCGACCGTAAAGCAGTAATGAACTAGTATTACCAAACAATTATTATTACTGATTCCAAAATGGTTCATGATTTTTTGAATAGTGAACTTGAAGAAAGAGTACTTAATATATTAAATAATACTTAATCTATTTTTTGAGGTGTATATTCCTTACATATTGAATTCTCTCAACTCACTATAAATTATATATACGTTTATATGCATACATAATATAATTAGTTACAAATTCAGGTGATTGATTTTGATTAATTTGTGAGTTCTAATCTGGATTAATCTGTTATAATGTTTTGTTGTTGTGGGAACTTCAAATTATCCTCAAAAACTTAGTTAATACTTTTCTTATTGCTGAATAATCAATTGATTTTTCTTGTTTTTTAACGTATGAATGAAGTTACTAAGTAAATTATGTTTAGAAAAATTAAGTATTCAGGAAATATGTTAAGTAGTTAATGTAATGATCTGAAATGTATATCCAAAAAGGAACAATGTAAAAAGACGGTTGTTAATTTACATTATATGATGATCGTAATATAGAAACCTTGAGAAACTACTGAAAAAAACTAAGGGTTGCAAAACAATTATTTTGTTTCATTTCAGATGTTTGCAATATTATCCACTCCTAATAATTGATTTGAGTTTAGATACCCACTGATTCTCAAGATTTCGTCGGCCCTGATTAAAATAAAGCCAGTTCTGCTTTAGTATAAAAGAGGTTTATATTTATGCTTAGACAATTATCTATTATATATATATATATATATATATATATATATATATATATATATATATATATATATATATATATATAATTGTATCTAGTAGTTGCTTTTCAAGAATAGAAACAATTGAGTATCCCCTGAAAACGAAATGCTGACTGATACCGGTTGAAAAAATGATGAAACGTAGGGTTTATTCAATAGATATTCGATCCTAATTTACAACATCGCTAGAGCGTAAAATCGATACTCCATAGACTATGAAACGTAACCGTTTAGAAAACCAACCTTTTTCTTTGATACACTGATATTTTTCAGTAAAGCTTGTTTGCATTATTTGGCATAAAACATTGCGATTAAAAGCCTTTCCCATGTCTGTATAACCTAAGACAAACATTAACCACTTCTATGGAGAACAATGTTTTCAAACACCTAAATGTTCAGAATTTAAAAAGTCGTCTTTTCAATATCAACTCTATATGATAACCAATTACTTTATAAACTCTGAATACTCAGTACATGTGTGTAAATATACATGTTTACCCGAAACATAGAAATAATACAGCTTGATTATTATGGGTATTAAAACCTTACGACAGAACAAAATATATAGAAAATATATAGACTATATCGATATATATTTTCACATAGATATCATCTTATCAACTAGTTTAATATGAGTAATTATTCCTTAGAAGAAAAATGATAAATTAACAAGAGTCCATACAATGCCTGACTATGTATGTTTAATTAAGCTTAAAAATACAATAAATTTAAGTTTAGAATAAAAATTGTTAATAGATGTTTTAATGGTTCAAGAAAAGTAAATTCAACTTTCTTTATATTTAATTTCTCTGTTTTGATCCATCCAATCAATAATTGATTTCACTTTATTTTTATCAGAAAACCTGACAACAGTTCGTTTTTTATTCCATATGGTATCTCAGCTAAAATTTTGAAAATAATTCTAAAGCCAAATACAAGAAATAAATAAGAAGTTCTTATCAAAATCCTATCGTATCTAAGCTAACATCATTGAATTAAGAAAAACTATTGTTGATTGTGATTTTGTTTCCTCATATAACTAGATTATTCACTTTAAGATATTTGTAGGTACAGTATGACCACAGGATCAAATTTATTATTGGAATTGTATGAAATGACAGTTCATATTTGAATTTATTTGTGGTAGTCGATTATGTCTTTGCAAGGGTAAACCAAATGATTATTCGATAAATTAAAATTATAATAGAAATAATTAATACTAAATATGGTTTTCGTTTTATCTCAATGAGTAGAAAATTTGTATTTCTGGCGTTGCTGTAGACCACTTCTTCAAAGTAAATAGACAACCTAATGCTCATTTTATTTAAAACTATCAGGTCCAAGCTTGGCATTGATACCTACATAATAGAAATTAATTGTCTACCAGCTAGTTAAGTCTTTCTATTGACTTTGTGTAAATTGAAATGACCATCAAGATATTGCTTTCATAATTTGTTTTTTTTTCACTCTTTCATTCAAGTGAATACTTTCAAAAAAATCAATATCTAGTAAAGAGATCTATGAAATGACATGATTATTAAACTCCTACCTTACCCATACTGCATATATCCTTGTTTAAACATAATGAATAATCATGAATATGAATAGCTAAATTTATTTATGACTATAAAAACAATTGAAGTTATTTATTTTCTAAAGAAAATTCTTTTTGTCTCATTAATAAAACTTTTTAGATAACAATAAATAACTAAATTCATTAACGTTTTATATTTTCATTAATCTCTCTGTTTAATTAAAGATGATTTCAGTAGACTACTGATAATTATTATTCAAATGAGAATTTGATATATTTAAAAATGAAAACCTTAATTATTGAATATTGAAAATTGATTAGATTAGTTATTCACTTAGATTTCATTGCGAATGAATACATGAAAAATTTATTTACCAAATGATTACTGTTATTGAATATATTTGATCTACGTGATAGAGATCTACTTGAATAGAGTGTGAACAATAAAGTTAACAGAATAAAATGATTTTCCCCTATTTTAATATATTACATTAGTTATAAACAATCTATCATTATAATAAATAATCTGATTAAAAATAGAGATATTATAGTGAACAAAAACACGAGTGGAGGACAATCGAATGTATCTGAACATGAAATTACAGAACATCTTACTAAAATCTGAGAACAATACAGTAAATATTTAGTTTTTCAATATATCGATCAGTTGTCTCTAAATTGACTGTTGTTTTTGCAAATATCAGTCCATCATCTCAGATTTCATTGTTCCTGAATTTTTATATCAATTACTTTCCATTCCCCTTTTTTCCTTCTTGATCTCTTACTGAAATGCTCTTATTCCTGACAATCATTATACACTACTTATGTGGATATAAGTAGCTCACAATATGACGTACTTTACTTCATGAGTTTATGATGAACAATCGAATACGTAATAATGAATTAACAGGACAGAAAAGAAAAACAGTAGAACAAGATATAATTTGTGCTACTTATTTGTTGAAAGTTGTCTTATGAAATGTAAATGCAAAGACAAAATAATTACTAGTTTTCTTAATAAAAATATATGTGGTTCTGTAATTAGTTGGCACTTTTAAGATGAAAGCACCATAAGAAATGAAAATCAGTATGCAAGAAAAAGAAAGATCATTCAACTTGGATTACCTTCTTTTTTGTAAAAATAGAGTGGCTTAGAAATGCTTCATAATGACAGATTGGGCAATGCTAAGCCATAAAATTTGTTGATTGTTAAGTACTTAGACATTCTGCTTCTCAAGACGGTTAAAGTCAAGAAGTTTATAGTGCTTAAAGTATCTTATTATATATGAGAAATCGGTGTATTTTCCTTGACAAAAATTTAACAATTCATTAAGTATTTTATTCCGTAACCTTATGAACTTTATTCACGTTACCGAATTATAATAAATTAACAAATATCGTTTGATTTCAAATTCTCGACATTGTTTTGTTAGATAAATTTGATAAATAAGCTTGTTGTGTTTATTGTTTTAAGCAAATTTAACCCGAGAATTTGGATATAATTTCATGATAATTGTTTTGCACATAAGTTTTGATGTATGCTCTTTCTAGCTTAAAATGCACTTAGATTTAGTGTAAGAAACTCAATTTCATAGATTTAAGCAATTCAAAGACACATCCTGTGCACAAACATGAACATCTTACTTTCATAGAACTTATAACAAACTGACAATGATCAAACATTTCATTGACGTCCAGTAATTTATGTTTTACATGTTTGTTAAAGGATCATACTAATGATTATTATAATATACAATGTTTTATATCTTGCAATGAAATCATTCTCAGCAATAAATGCTGGTCACTTTAAATAATCTATTATCATAATTTGCCAAAACTAATGCAAAATTAATACATGAAGGATTATGTAAGAATTGATTAAGTAAAAATGTTAGATTGAATATATCTCATAATACATCCAAAGACAATGTCATCCAGATGACGATAAACTGATCATGGAAATTTCGTTCATTAAATCTATCAACAAAATATGACAATAAGTTATCTGATAGATAATAAATGGGAAACTTGAAACACTGAATACATAAAATGCCTAAATAAATTAACATGAATTAGAAAG